TAGTAATAGAGCAAAAGTAAAAAGAAAAAAATTGGCTGGAGATAATACATGTTCTGTAGTTATTTCTAAGGAATGCTGATGATAAAAATGAAAGGGAATAAAATATTTATGAGATGTGTAGATGCCACTCAGCATCAAACAATGTTAAAAATGCAACTTTGAGCCTAGATGGGTGACCACTTGGAAATACCAGGGGCTGTAAGCTTAGATGTGTGGGTGGTGTAATGGATAATGGCTCAGAATTGTTAATTGGAAAGCTGAGTTCCAATCCCCATTGAGTTTGTTATATTCACTTACATACAAATACCCTTGGGAAGGGTATGACGGCCCCCTCTTTTCCCCCAGCTATTAAGAACTGTATTACTAAAGCATTACCCCCCACCCCCCAAAAACTAAATTCTTACAATCTAAAAATATTTCCTTGTTTTATATAACCTGCAAAAGTTGATAAGTCATAGAAAACAAATTAGTCAGTAAGTTGTAAACTATACAAAATTTTTTCCAAAGACTTGATAACTAAAATTAGTTATCAAAATTTATAGAAAACAATCTGCTTAAAACTGGAACTTATTTTTCAAAGATACAACTAGCTGACAAAAAATTATATTTAGTTAATTTTTTGTTTGATAATTTAAGAAGGAAAAGGTATTAAGATTTGTGCTGTTTTTTTCTTCAGTTTTTGTTGTTTTTAAAGAACATTTGCAAGTGTCACAAAATGTACATAGCGTCCTTTCTTCTTTTTTTTATTTTATTTTTTTGGAAGGATCTCATTGGTCAAAAAATAAAAATGTAACAATTGAGATTTTTATGCCTCTAGAGCCTCTTTTTGCAAAAAAAAAAAAATGACAACTTCATTTCTGGAGGAAAATAGTGTAAATGTTGGGAATAGCTAATGGGATATCTTACAAAAAATATAAGTCCTCTTATTCTGGCACTGAATCAAATAATGGTTCAAAACAATTTATAAATGATTATGAGAGCAATGAGTCCTGGAGCAGCTAACAGGATATTTTACCAATGACATTGCAAACAATTATCACAATCACAACAGCTTCAATTTCTTTTGAAATAGAAAAAAAAAAAAAACAACAACAAAACTGACAGTACATGTAAATGTTGACTTGTAATTTTGACTTTCAGCAACTTCTTATATTTTCAAAGTGGCTCAACAATTTTTCACATATCAATCTGTATATGATTTTCAAATGTTTATTAGTTTCAATTCTTTCTTTTAATAATCACTGATACCCAAAGAAGAAAGTCTTTGACTACATTTTAGTTTCCCACCTGTTCACACATCCTTATTATATAGAAATTTCCATCCTGTGCTTAATAAGCTAGGATTTGATATTAATTTTAATAAGATAAAAGTTTTAAATTCTTATTTAAACTAAATTTAAAATAAAAGGATAATTATTAATTTACATGAAAAGGTTACAATTTATTGCTTTGAAAATTCAGTGAACTTCTAAAAAATTTAATAAAAAAATCATCCAAAAATTGTATGCTTTAAAAAAAAAAGATTAATGAAAGACAGATGAATAAAGATGTTGATTAGATCTAGTGATTAGACCCAAAGAGTTGTGAGTTCAATACCAGGCCACAACAGTGGTGAACCAAAAAACTTGGAGAGTTGAGTTAAAGGTAAATAACTGAGACATTCAAAAGAGGCATAGCACGTGGAACTAGAACAATCTACCCCAGTGGCTGAAATAAAGGGGTTAGTTTGAATTTCCAATCATCTGAAGAAGGCCAGAGTGTACAACAGCTGAAACATTGTGAATATGGCAATGAAAATGAGAACAGTCCAAATAATGTGAATGAGACAGATGAATTTTAATAATTTAAGTTATGAGGGTTTCCCATTTAATACAAGCAGTTTTCTATCACTGCTTTTGCTACTTTTATATTTGTTTATTATTCAAGGAGGAAATGATAGAAGAAATAAGTAAAAATATTTCTAAGTCTTTATATACATAAATATTTTAGTTTTGTCTGCATATGATGCAAAATAAAGATAAAAAAAACATTTAAATTTTATTTTGTAGTAGGAATAAATGATGTTAATGTAAGTTGGTAGAACATTGAAGCATTTTCTTTTAAACTCTTGAAAATGTGCTCTCTCACCTGGAGGAATCAATAAAGAGCAGCCAATGATGTGCACAGGTTTGGTGATGCCAGGGGCCAATTCCTTGATTGTATGCCTCTAAGACTCAAGTAGGGGGCTGGGGGGTGCTATAGAGCCTTGTAGTGAGAAAAGAAGACATTTTAAATATGTAAAAACAGATGAAACATGAAATAAACAACTTATTCAACTTAAATATAATCTAAATTTTTATTTCACTCTTTGATTGGATGCCCTTCCCAGTATGGGGATGCCTGGAGCTGTCACATCCAATTCGCCTGCCCTTCTGCACACAACTGAGAGCAGTTTTTACGATAATTCATATTTTATTTATAAATTGTGTTAGTAATCAGGAAAGGGTTAATTTTAAACTAGTAACTGAAGGGATACAAATTCAAATCTCACTTAGGGATGACTTATTTCTAATACATGCTGCTTGTAATACATAATTATTTTGTGCCTGGATAAATATTTGATTCATTTACCAGGGAAAAAGAAAAAATACATGTACACTTACTACATATACACACACACACACATATATATATATATATATATATATAGTAACAGATTTGTATTCCAGTGAAGAAGCAATTTCTTTTCTTTCTGCTGTATACAGGAACAATACTATTGATAGCTAACAACATTCATTATCCATGCTTGTAGTTTAAAGTTTGAGTTTTAATAAAAATCAATAGAAAGAAGATGAAAGAAATACTACTGAAAAATAAATAAATACTACTGAAAAATAAATAAATACTTTACTTGTATGGCACAAAAATTAAAACTTCATTCTGTTTGATCAATTTCTCTTTCAAGAATTGTAAAAAAAAAAAAAGATGCACTGACATTTACATCTTATCACAATCTACTAAAGTTAAATTTTATTATCCTACTTTAACTGTATGACAACTTAGACACCATAACATTTTTCATAGGCAAAAATGAACAAGCATTTTCCTTTTTAGAAATGGAAAAAAAAAAAGAAGGTATATGAATACTAGAGTTATTTCAGTTTCTCTTAAAGTTGAAATACTATATTGTGAACATTGAATTAATGTATTGTTTTTTTTTTTTTAGTTTTTTTTTTTTTAGAAGGGAAGTGTTATTAGGTCTTGTTCATAATTTATTTTCAGTCAAATATAAAATGAATTCCTAAAAACAAAATTTTGTACATCCAGCAGTTAGGCAGGCTTTAGATAGAAAAAGTTTCAATCATTTCTAAAGGCTGAAACATTTTATGGATTGGGGATTGTTTTGTATTGATTCATCAATCTCTTATTAGATTCTGACTTAGTTAAAAGCTTTTGAATATATTATGCTTTTAAAAGTATTCAAATGGTTGGTGATTAGAAATATCTTAAACAATTCAAAAAAATTGATGGGTATTAAAAGAAATTTATATCTTATTTGGCTGTAAGTTGATATATCCATTCCTATTGGTATTAATAATTTGCAGTTTAAAATAGTTGGATTAAGATTCATTTTAGTTGCCTCCTGAAAATAATTTAGAAACAAAAATATTAATATTAAATGAATTATGCATTTTTCTATCAGATTTTTTTTTTTTTTTTTCCTTTTCAGGTTGTCTTAGTTGTATTAATATTATTTTCTACTGCTATGCTGTTTATTATACATATTATTTTGTGCCTGGATACATATTTGATTCATTTACCAGGGAAAAAAAAATACATGTACACTTACTATATATATATATATATATATATATATATATATATATATATATAATAACAGATTTGTATTCCAGTAAAGAAGCAATTCCTTTCTGCTGTGTACAGGAACAATACTATTGATAGCTAACAACATTCATTATTACATTATCCATGAAGTCAATTTTCTAAAGATATTGGTTTGAGGCTGCTTTCTTTTTGCATTTGGTTGTTTGACTTCACTCACCTCTGAAGTTTTTGGGATCCCAAATCATTTTTTTTTTTTTTTTTTTTTTCCCCACAAAAAGAAAAGGTTAATTACAAGGATTAACCCATTGTACTTGACACGTCATGTCTTTCATTTCATCTTTAATTTTTTTTGTTTTTTTAACTTCATTTGATGAAACATTAATTAAGAAAGAAGCTATGGGCCAGTGTGGCAAAGTAAATTCCATTATTCACCATTACTGAGAAACAATGGGGAAGGTCTCAGTGCTGTGGTGGATTAAGAAAATGGCTTTTACTTATATATATAATATATATGAACACTGAGGTCAACATTCAGTGCAAGTGCCAACAGTTTGTTTCATGGTTGTGATCAAGCATTAAACACTGTCAGTGCTGACCTCAGTGTCCACTTCTATATTTACATAGGCTCTATCCCTGATATTGAGCACTTTTACCCATAAATATAGCATACTTTAAAATTATATTTTATCATTCACATATACATACATGCATGCATATATATATATATATATATATATATATATATATATATAATAAAAGCTTTTTAAGTTAACTATTTTGTTTATTGCATTTTAGTTCACTTCTCTGGTATAATGGGTTAATTTTCATTCTGAAAATTTTATAATATTGATTTTTATCACAGATTTTACTTTTACTACTATCATCATTAACACTACTACCTTCTCAATTTCTTCCCAGCAAAAAAAGAAAAAGAAAAATCAGAATGAATGGGATCAAGATCAAATTCACTTTTATTGCTTCTCATATTGGTTATAGCATGAGCTTGAGTATTTTTTCTAGTATAATAATTCTTTTACATATACAATTATATTTACTACTATTTTAAGTGATATAACTGTCACTTATACTAGCAATACTACTACTACAACTGCCACTTGTTTTCCTTCTCTACCATTTCACACTGATTCAACAACCCTTGTTTCAATTGCTTCTAGTCTACCGAATTCTCAGAGACGACTAGTACAACCTCTGTAAGTAAACTTGATTTTTCTTGAACAACTTTAACTTTTATCAGTGTTTATTGTACTAGTTACTATTTTATTAAACACTGTATATTTCACAGTATCCAGAGAGAAAGAGAGAGAAAAACCTGCATCAGTTTGAGTTTTCTTGTAAAATTATTAATTTTCTTTTTCTTATATCAGTTTTTATTAAAATTTTTCTTTTGACCCTTACAGCATGTTTGCTATGGTCTCTGAAAATGATTTATTTTATTACTTTTTTTAAATATTTCTTCAAGATTTTTTTCCACCTTTAGTGTTTCACCTTCATGTTTTTCTACATCATTGCAAGTTAGGTAACTCTCATTTATCAAATGTTAACTAAAGAATTCACAACTGAAAATAAAATTGAATTGCCAAAATATTAAAGATAGCACCTCCTCCTTTATGCCTGAATCATAGTGGCTATATGATGTGGCATGGAGACAATGAGATGTTGGTGTCATTGCATTGGTATGGCTGCTAACAATCTATACAACAATTTCACCTGGGAATGATAGGATTGTACTGGGGAGTGTGGGGGATATGATGAGCACAAAGAAGTGTATATCAGAACTGCCAAAATAGATTCTAATTTCACTTAAGGTCCTTTTGAATTCTAATAAACCAACCCTCCACACCATTACAGAATTATTAACAGCTTGTATAACACTCTGCTAACAGTTAAAATTTTATGCAGTTTTCTGAACACATCTGTCAGAAAAATCTGGAAAAATGACTTGTTTGACCAGATAATATAGCACCAGTTTCCCACAATCCAATGGCCATGTTCTCTTGCCTGGGTGTAATACAGTAATATTCTTACGTTACCAATAATGGAATGTTTGTTGGTTAATAATTATTAAATCCCATCAAGTGATTACTGTCTTTGCTAATTACCAGCAGTTCCATTCATCACATGTGATAGCCTGTAGTTTTTATGAGCTTCTGCTATGTTCTCACTTCACTTATTCTTGGTAAATCCTTGCTACTATTGTCCAAGAAAAACCTGAAACAGTTGTAAATCTTAGAGATAGTGCCCCAGGTTTCTAACTCTCAAATCATCCCCCAGTTAAACTATGTCAAAATTTTGTCTGTGTCCCATTTCTGCCACGGTCACATTATCTCTTTGCCTATTATTAAATATCATCAGGCCCGAGTCCACTTCTACAAGTGAGGGAAGGTGAAACTATCAAGTGTGGTGTTAGCTCTAATCTTTTGGCACTTTATTTTTAAAAAGGAAAGAGGATGATGAACTTGGAATAAAGTTAAAATGTTGACTCATCACAAATGAAATCATTTTGGGCATGCTTATAAAATGCTTTTCTCATTCTGCCTTGAAATGAGTTATGAAAAAAAAATTAAATTTAATCAATTCTTAAAATTGTATTTTTAAAAGTGTAAAATTCTTTCTATTCATAATAAACAACCTTAATATTATTATCACTTTTCATTCATCTTTACTGCAAACACAATTTTTCTCAATAAATAATTCCTAATCATGTATCTCTCTTCTCTCTGAATTCTTACATATATTTTTTGATAGGGATTCTGTTTATTTGTTTACATGTATAGTTTTTCTTGTCTTGTAGAAGTATTTTAATTTAAAAAAAAAAAATAGCAATGAAATTAGATTTCTTCCAAGTATGCCTTAGCGAATGTCTTGTAGCTTTAGTTCCTTTATGCGTTTATATTAATTTCTGATTTTTATGTCAGTGTCGTCTTTGTCATTTTACCCCCTGTCATAACGCCCATCTACAAATTTTTTTTCTTATATAAATCTCCACTGAACACCTGATAATCATGTCCCAGCACCATTTTTTTTACCAACACAAATATTCAAAATATATGCCAGGACATATATTGGTGTTTTGTGGCATTTCTGATTTTAAGTCATGATTATTTCTATGCAAAGAATGAGTTTTCTCTCCATTTTTTTTGATAATAGCAAGATGTCTCTCTGATGTTCAAACCATTTTTAAATTCATGACTATTAAAATTTTATTCTGTAAATAATCACTTGTTAAGGTTATTTTTTTTCATTTCACTTATGAGAAGGATTTTTTTCTTAATAAAAACAAAAGCAAGGTATCAAAACTTTTTATGTATAACTTTTCCTATTTCTGCTGTTTAACTCATTAAGTAATTCTTGTTTGTATACTTGGTGCATAGGTGTCATTTTTAATACTGACAATTTAAATTATAGGGTGAAAACTAATTTGTAAACATTTTTCCTTTTTGTCAGCACTTGTACAATATATTTTTGCTTTTTGCAACTTTATTGTACATATAGTCATGACCACCATTTACTCCTGACTTCATTTCTGCCACTTCATGAGGATGTTTACTCTGAAGAGTTTGAAATCCCTATTTTTTCAACATTTTAATTTGTATTTTTTCTTTTTCTCTTTCTTCTTTTTTTTTTTCTTCAAATTTTGCCTTTTGACTGGCATGTTATTCATTACAAATCTAACTCTAAAATTAGGACTTATTTGAACCAGAAATTTCTTATAATATACAAAATAAAAATGTCAACAACAGTGTATCATGAAGGATCTTGTTACTTAAAATTTCTTCTGTGAATTCACATCAATATTTTAGAACAGTTCATTGATTTCTTTTTAATTTAGAATAAGTTTAATTCTATAAAAACCAGATGATGAACTGAACCAATTTTTCTCTACTTAGTGAAGTAGTCTTTCAACTATCAAATTCCTTAAACTAGAATATTTTGTTTCCTTTCCCTATCTATCATCACTGTAATTTTATGTTTTAGAATGTTTGATAATAGAAAATATGACACAAAAAAGATTGATTATTCTGAGATTAGAGTTAAATGTCTTCAATAATTCCAACTAATATGTATGTGTGTGTTGTCATGTTTTTGAATAAGATATTTTATTTCCTCCATTTGTGTAAATTTTATTTCATGATTTGTTACATTAATAAAAGCAAAAACATAAAAAACCATTCATTCTGAGCATAGTTTTTAAAAGTTACATATTAAAACTTCTCAAAGAATTGCATAATGCATTTGTTTTTATAAATATTATTAAAGAGAATAATTAAATTCCCTTTTCTTTCCACTTTCATATGAATCCTTCCTCCACTTCATATATGAATCATATATTGTATTTATAAACACAAGCTATATTGGACTGGATTTTTTAAACATGAGTTTTGTTACTATAAGGCAGTGTTACTTCCATATATGTTTTATGACAAATAAACAGATCTGGAAGGATGTATGTAAATTCTTTTTCAAATGGTTAGTCTTATTCTTGCTTTGCACCAATATAAAGTGGACATGTTGTTGATGCTACTCTAAAAAGTTTTTGGTCCAGTTTAATGGAAATGTTGTTCTTGCAATTGGAATGCTTAAATATGGATCCCAGGAGCTGTCCTCTTGGCATGCAATCTTTAAAAATTGTAAAGAATTGTTTTTTAATTTATATTATGTTGACAGAGTAATTTTTTTTTTTTTTTTGCTTCTTAATGCTTCTTTTTTTTTTTTTTTTTTTTTTTTTTATGTTCCCTTGTTCATTTTGCATCATGTATTCAGGCACTGTGAGGTTTGGAGTAGAAATTTCAAGTATGTGCTTTTAAGATTGTCTCCAGCCATTTCTGTCTTATGACCATGTATTCCTTCTTGCTTCAGGTTGAAATTATCCTTTTTAGACTTTCTGAAATACACAAAAGTATTCTCACTCACACTGTTTGTGTGTTGTTGGTTTAGCAAATATTTTCTTTCTTTTTTTTTCTCTCTCTCTATTCTTCTTTTGCATCTGCCAAGAATGACTATCTTTACTTTCAGAGACCTTCGAATGAAATGAATGAAATTTAATACCCTCCTTCCTAAAAAGAGCTTACAATTACAGAGTAATGATTCTTCTTAGTCTGTATTATTGTCTACTGTGGGGAGGGGTCATAACAGCTATTGTGCTCATAGAAGAAAACTCCAGCAACTGATCAAGCAACACCATTAAATAATTACAATTTACCCTGTTAATCTGCTTGAATTTTTTCTTAATTTGAAATCATAAAATATAATGATGCTAGTAAAAGTAAACATCATTTGTTAGTTGTATTTATATGGGGAGGTAGCTGAAAAGTTCTCAGCTCAGTCAAGAAGCAAATGACCTAAAGTTATGAAATGTACATGCTATCTTATATATTTACTTATTATTTCAAAGCCATTTGACATATCATTTCTCTAACCCTTCCCTACAAAATTTGTTTGGTCATGAAATACTACTCTGCTGCTGCTTGCTCATTCAATTCTTTCAAAAATTTTCTCCTTTTCAAGTTCATTTTAAGATTTGTAAACAGGAAATATTCAGATGGAGCAAGATTTCAAGAGTATGGTAGATGTTCTATGCACTCAGTGTCCTGCAAAAAGAACACCTTACCTTTCCACAACTTTGCTATTTTTCTTTCAGTGCTTTCTTTTAATGTAAGTTAAAGCAGTATTCTGCATTATTATCTTGAATTTCATGATATATGGAGAAATCTAGTGTTGCCAGAGTATAAAAAAACTTTTGTTTGGTCACAGTCATGATGATATAACTCTGTTTCATCAACAGGGACGATTTGTTCCAAAGATTGTTGAAAATGCTGCAGAATCATCTTGGAGATATTTACTTGATATTTTTTCTAGTCACCATTCAAACATTTTTGGCTAACTGCTCATGAACTGTAAACATATATATATATATATATATATATATATATATATATATATATATGTGTGTGTGTGTGGGCATTGAAGTCAACACCCAGCAGCAACAGTCTGTTTCATGCTTAAACATAATTGTCATGGCTTGATGATTGTGTTTAAGCATGAAACAGACTGTAACTGCTGGTTGTTGACTTCAATATTCACTTTTATATTTATATATGCTCTATCCCTGATATTGAGCACCTTAACCCATAAATATAGCATGCCTTAAATTATATTTTTATTATATATGAAAAATTTCAGATAAAGTATCTCTGTTTTATATATATATATATATATATATATATATATATATATATAAAGTATATTTAGAACTGAAATTTGTTGGTCACTCAAAATTAAGTCCTGAACATGTTCATCAGTTTCTGGAGTTGACACTATTGAAAGCCTTCTTGTGCTGCATTATGGGTCTCAAAATGATCCATCTGGAAGTTGGCAAACAATTTCTTCACAGCTGGGTATGATGGTCACTTGTTACTCAATCTTTGCATCTTAAATTCATAGATTTCCATTTCCAATTTTCTTCAGCAGAAATAAGAATTTTATTGTTGTACACTTGAAAATTCCACAACTTCTCTTGACTTGGTTTTGGTCAATGATCTGAAACAAATTTAAAAATAAGCACAAGAACACTGCAATATAAAAAAAGAACATTTTCTGACTACAATGACAAAATAACTCTTAAATACTGGCAAGTGGATCAATGACCTTGTATCTGTTTTGTTTTTTTTGGGGGGGGTTACCCTTCAATTTACAAAATCAGTTTATGAAATGCATATAACCTTTATTTCTGAGTTAATTAAAATTTGAATGAAAAAATTACAGGTGAAAATATTTTTTTTTTTTTTTTTTTTTTTTTTTTTTTACTATATTTACAATGAATTAAAAGTATTGTCTTATCTTTCTGTCTTTTTTTTTTTTTTTCTTTGTTCATATATTTGTATAAAAGATCAATACAGGACATAGTTAATTTATAAGCATGGCTACTGAATTTCATCCTTTAAAACTTGTTATATATCCAAGCAAGCTTCCAAATTTTAGAACAAAGTCAAAAGAAGAACTCTGCAAATGTGTAGTACAAAGAAGACACTGTTTAAGTATTATGCTGGTTATTTATTTACAAGTATATCCTGTAGATAATATTTTTCTTTGCTTTTTTGAAAAAGCAAGACATTTAAAGTTTTTTTTCTGTATTTTTTTTTGTTTTAAATGTGTCATATATTCAATATTAATTTCACTGACCTCATAAATGTTTTGTTTCAGTATTCGAGTTTCTGCATTTGGTCAAAAAGTGATTTTAGCTTTGCTGTTTCTATTCAATAGATGAGATGCCTGTATTTCTCTTTGTATCTACAAATATACCCACTTATGATATGCATGTAACTTTTCTCTTGTTGCCTGGCTATTATCTATAATTATTCTCTTAGTTCAGTTATAAACCTTTTTTTTTTTTCTCTTATAAACCATGTTATTTTTTATAAGATTTTTTTTCAGGCTATCTGTAAGTACATTACTTTTTATTGGATGTTAATTGCTAAGTCCATCTCTATTAGAACAGTATTTTTGTTTATCATTTAGATTATTTGGGATACTTTTAATTATACATCCAGTGTTTTCCTACCTGCTTTAAAAATAATAGGTCCAGTAACGAGAAATTATTTGTTTAATATTTATGGTGTTATCAACTGTAGAAAAGTTTGATACATATATCTATTAGTTAGCTTGTTTTAATCTTTGTTTTAATTTGTGATAAATTCCCTTTGGAATTTCACTTTGTAAAAATCAGTTTGTTCTGTTGAAACTATTGTTCTCTTACTAACCAATTGACTTAGATTATTAAGCTAATTTCCAGTGTGTTTTTCTTTTTAACTAAGATGTTAAAATTTAATAGCATTTTAAGAAATTTCTTTATATTTTGACTTAAGATATTAGTTTTTATGTCCTTACTAAAACTAAATAACCATTTATAAATTATCCATTTTAAACTGGGATATTTATTAAGTAAAAGGCTAAGTAGTAAAATTTTTAAATTGGCATTTTTTTTCCTTTATTTTTATAATTCTTGAAGTCAGATATAAAACAATTTCAATCAGTCTGAACTATTTCATAATTGCAACAGCAAAAATATTATTGATAAAAAAAATAATTGTATATTATTACTGCATGGAATTTCTTTTGTTTCTTATAAGAATTACCCATCAAAATTTAAACTCTTCTTTGGTTATTTTGTCATATGATTTGCATAGAATTGCCGTAACAAATCATGTGAAGGGACATAAAGATTACTTAATGTATTTTTTTTTTTTTTCTAACCAAAAATATTAGATGATAAAAAGTCATTTCTGCAAGTGGGTATCATCTGAGCAGTTACAGAGTTCTTGTGTACAAATTTTTATATCAGTTAAACTTTTCTATGATTTTTACCTTGCAGTATTAGAAATAAATAATACACTTTTAAAATGGCCTGTGCAGTCTTCCGTTTGAGATATATATAAGTACACAAAGTGGAAATAGAAAAGATACATAATTTGTATGAGAAATTGGCAGATTAGTTAATTTATCTTGAATTTCTGTGTGTGTGTGTGTGTGTATCATCTCTCTCTCTCTCTCTCTTGTTTTGTTTATACTTGTTTTGTTTTTTTTTTTTGTTTTTTTTTTTTATTTCTATAATTTGTTCTCAGGAGCAGCGGATAAAAGAATTGAATCAAGTATCACCTGCAGCATCTCCACACCATCAGCCAACAACATTTGCCCCGACAAATCCATTCAGCACTGCTGCTTCGACTGATCAAGGGTCAGATCTACTTCTGGACACTGGTGTGGCAGCACCTGCAGGACCATCAAAACCTATTGATGATTTACTTGGTTTATCAGCTACATCTACCAATCCTTTTGCTGACAGCCTCCCGGCTACTGCAGTTTCGCCTGGACAACCAACAACTATGACATCTATGGGATGGGGAGCTCAACCAACAGCTTCTCCTGCAATAACTACCACTAATCATGGTAAGGGAGCTACTTTCACTCAGACATTTTATCATAATAGTAATACAAAGTAGCTTTATTAAGCTTAATAAAATAAGGTTTTTGAAAACTCATTTGTCCTATAGATTAAACCGAAAAGCTGTCAACATGCTAGGCATTGCTGCTGTAGTTTCATGGCAAGTAGGTTTTACAGGATGGAATTGCTATCTCCATGTACAACTGGTTTTGAATTCAGAGTAGTTGTTCTCTTCTCTTAGACTGGATGCCAACCAAGGATGAAGAGCCCATTTTGCCCTACTATTTAACCCATTGCTGGGGGGGGGCAAGGTGGATTTATACCCTTTCTCAAAGATATTTCACAAAAGTGAATATAAGAAACTCAACTGGAATTTGAACTCAATTCACAGATTTCTTGTTCTGACTTGCTAACCTGCACATCTTGTTTTTTTAAAGAAAAAAAAAATTTTATTCATGTAAATCTTTGCATGCAGCAATCTAAAAAAGTATATTCATTTGCCATAATATTTTTCATTTCCTCTGCAGATATTATTGCAATTTAGTGTTTTTCAGAAACAATTTGACATACTTCAGTCTAATACTAATTTGGCTATAATGTGATGAGTCAATTTAGTATCTTTTTTCTTTCTTATTTTGATTTGAGAAATGATTAATCTATGATTTTAGCATCCTAACCACTAATACATGACATTGATGTTCATATGCTGTAAAATAAAATAAACCCAAACTAATACATGTTATAGTAATGGTTCTAGCACTTAGTTCTGTTGATAGATGGCACCATAGAGGATTTTTATTTTCTTTCATACAGTACATTGTAATCTTCTAATAGATGCGACTTCATTGACAAATTGGGCTTCTACTATAGTGCAATGGTTAGTAAGTTTGCTTTGTAGACTGATTTGCTAGTATCAAGCATTTGAACTCTACTTGATGCCCTGCTACTATGGCTTTGGACAAAACTGAGATAAGCTTAGTAAAAAAGAAATAAAAATATTCCTAGAACATTATTCTAAATAATATGTATATATTATTGAAAATCTTCATTCTTTTCCATATTAGTACATATACATTTACAAAAGATTCTCCCCCATGAAACACTGACATTACCCCCACCTGGTTGAGAAGTCCTGCTCTAGACTCTTTAAAACATTAAGTTCAAAAGTGTTAATTACCGAAATGGAATCAGCTTCACTTAATCAATGATAATCACCTAACATTTTCTTTCTTTTTTTTTTTTTATTAGAAAACAAAACAAAAAAAAACACATATCAATTAAAATCTGATAATTGGTCAAATTGTTTTATCTATTGATCACTAGTATAATGACTTATTGTTGATATTGTTCAAAACTTAACATTTTGATTTATCAATATATAAGATTTTATTTTTATTAAAGGAGTTCACTTATATTTTTTTTAAACAAAAACTCTACGTAGAGTCAAAATAACTATTACTTCATTTACCTAATAGTATGTAATTAATTTTTTCCCCCTTTAGCAGAAACCAGTTTTGCAACTGATGCAGCTTTTGCAGCAGCCTTCCCAAACACTACGTCAGCTACAACAACAGGTGAGCTTGGCCCAATCAAAGACCTTGCTGGAGATGTTTTCTTTTTGCCAATTTAATTTCTATACTTAAGAACAATTTGTGTCTCTCACACACACACACACACATATATATATATATATAATATATATATACACACACACACATATGCACATAGGGTGATTTAAAAAAAAAAAAGAGCAGATTTATGAAAATTTAATAAAAACAAATGCTAAGAGACAAACACATTCAACACATAGGAAAAGGTACAAAGTTATTAAAATAAATGAAATTTTTTCAATCTAGTTTTGATTTTGTATAATTTGTTATAATTTTTGTCAGCCCTTAAAATTGCCGCACAACAAGAAAAGTTTTTGTGTACTGTAATTTGTGAAGTGTAACCTTAAAATAATAAACTTTGAACCTTTTCCTATACAGTAATGTGTTTCTGTCTGTTAGCATTCATTTTTATTAAATTTTCAAAATCTGCTCTTTCTTTCTGAACAGTTGTGTATATATATATATATAATTGAGGTGGGGAGCTCCTTCCCATTCTATTCAGGATTAAAGGTTTTGCAATATTTGTTTCCTAAGTTTTCTGCTAACTTTTGAGAGGTAAACAAATTAACATTTGGGTGACAAAGCAATAAATTTTATTGTAAATTAACAGCACATTTCAAAACCACCAATTCCAATTTTTACAGGTTCTGTGTAATTACTTAATCAAATTCAAGTAAGAATGCTTTTGTACATAAGTATTTTATGATTACATCCCCTCACTTTCTTTAATAATATACTGATTAAATTTATTGCTATTTATTTATTTATAGTTGGTGAAGAGTTTATTATTTCTTTTTATATATATATATATATATATATAGCTTTGTGTAAAGACAAAAGAAAAACTTTTCTTAGCCGACACATTTTGTCTTCTGATGGACTTTAGCAAGACAAATGTAAAGATTTTATTTTGCAACAAGTGTTTATAAACAGAAGTAAAAATGTTAGTTTTTTTTATATTTTTAAATTTAAGAAAGTTCATAATATACATCAGCCTAACTGAAAAAGCTAGGTAAATTATGGAGGATGTTAAGTGGTAGAATTAATTTTTATATTAGTTTAAGAAATTTATGTATTACATATTTTAATTAATAGACGGTTTTGAATTTAACTATTTTTTTTTTATTTTTATTTTTTTATTTTTTAATTTTTATAGTCCTGTATATTGGCATGGGAAAGGAGTATTTTCTTTTAGGAAAGTAGATATTTGAAAAAGACTGGGGTGCAGATTTATATTTTTGTAAGATACAATAGCAGTACTCTCAAGAATTTTCTGTCTAAGCAAGGTACTTTCTATTTTGATAAGTGTAGCATTATTTAGATCAAAATTGTGGTTCAATTCATTTCTAGATATGACTGATGAATTTATTTTTTCAAATATCTCCTTTTCTAAAAGAAATACCCCTTTTCCCTAGCCAACATACATGACTAAAAAAAATTTAATAAATTAAAAATAAATTTCAACAATAATATTTACTAACTTTCATTTATTAGACATTAAATTACATCACTTAGCATCCTCCATAATTCACCTTGGCTTTTAATTAGCCTGATGTATATTTGAGCTTTCTTAAATTTAAAAATTCTGAAAAACTAACATTTTTACTTCTATTTATAAATATTTGTTGCAAAATAAATTCCTTACATTTGTCTTTAAAAAGTCAGTTCAGAGTACAAAATACATTGACTAAGAAGGTTTTCCTTTTGTTTTTATTCATATTGTCTTTTTACAGATACACTTTTAGTTATATCTGAATTTTTAAACACACACATATCTATATATATATATATATATATATATATATATATATATATATATATATATATCTTTTCAGAAAGTTTTCATTATTTCCTTAATAATATCAAATTAGTGTAACTCATCAATTTTATATCTTTTTGTGGAGAGGATAAAGTAACTTAAATATTTCAAATTGTAAGTCTTTATAAGATTTTCTCATTGTATCTTTTGCAAATTAGTTGTACTTGAAATGATATATTTCACGGTTTATGATCAACAAGCTCAAGCAAACATAATCTGCTTCAAATGGATAGCATCTTGCAGCAGCGATGACAAACTAATGTTTCTAACTTCACAGAGGTCCTCTTTATTTTTTTTTCTTAATTTGGGATTAGACATGAACAAAAGTTTCCAGTGTTTCTATTTAACAAAAAAAAAATAAAAATCTTTTCAATGGTGCATTCAAGTTCTAGTTTTTTTAAAAAAAAAAAAAGACACTAAGAACATTTGTACACATTTAACCTTGAACCCTAAGTGGCTCCGTTTGCCAAGCAAAATGTTTGTTTTGCTGCTGTATGTAACTCTGATTACCAAACAATGGTGTGTTTGAATTTTGCAATTATTATCATGTCCCCTTTATAGTAAAAGCAAAAAGGATTTTGAATGAAATAAAAAATCTAGATTACTGCAGTTGAAGCTGTTGTCAAATACAGTGGAAGAGGAAGTAATAATTACAAACAATACAGAGGACTAAAGGTTAATACATTACAGATAAGACAATTGATAAAAAAAAAAAAAACAATTTAGCTGATATTGATTTGATAATTAGGCTAATAATTAATGAAATGTTCCAACTTTCCAACCATTACTTCCTCTGAACAAATGTCTCTCCTTTTCTATTGAAATCTAAAAATAAACCATTCAATATTCATGTGATTTTATACTTTGTTGAATTTAATCAGATTTTTTTTAAATAATGAATTTGATTTATTTGATTTATTTATTTCAAATGAAACAAAATGTCTGGGTGATTTCACCTCATTTGTTTAGCTTTTATAAATTATTGGAATTGAGTAATATTTTCTTGCTTTTTATATTAGCTTATTGTTGTTGTTCAGTGTGAATATATATATATATATATATATATATATATATATATATATATATGCATGTGAATATCTTCTAGCATTTATCCATTTTTCAATGTGCTTCAGGTAAAGCTTTCTGTAATATTTTTATTTGCTTTAAATAATTGTGTATTCCCAAATCTTTGTGTTAAAAAGAACTTTAATGCTCTTTTGACAATTTTGAATTTAGGCAAACTGCTTATTTTCCCAAATGATAAATTGAAATGAAAGCAAGAAAATAAATTCTATTTAATCAGGATGAAATTCATAAGATTTGCCTGTTATTTTGCAAGCCTATTTAGAAAAAAAAAACTATCAATTTGGTTAATATCTGCAATAGTTTGACAGTGATTGCTAACAAAATGTCAGAATACAGTTTAAAACTCTAATCAGTTGTCTAGATTTCATTTTTGTTTAATAAATTATCTGTGTTTTTGAAGTATTGTAATACTCTTTGTTCTGTGAATTTTGGTCTGTTAAAAATGATCAAGACTTTGTGAATTTGTTTGGTTCCTGAATTGCTGCACAGAAGAAATCAAATGTGATTATCCTACAACAAAAATGGTTTATTTGTAAATGTTCTTCTAAAAATAACCATTAACAGGCATATTGTTAGGTTAAGTTAAAATTAGTTCAAATTTACAAGAATTTTGTTGCTGTAAAATTTTCTCATAAAAAAAACCTTGACTTTAAAAATGGTTACTGTGAAAAATTTTAGCATTATTGCAATCTACAGTCAATTCACCTGCCCTCTGCTAATATAATCAAGTGAAGATAATTCAAATATCTTTTAATTTTTGAAAATCAAACATTGAAGTCCTTGATTAATGCAACAAAATTTGGCATTGTTGCTTTTATTTTTTTTCTATTGATTGTAAACCTGAATTTGTTTCATTTGCTTTTTTTTATTGTCATATTCCACAGTTTTGCTGAGATTCTATTAATATAACCAGATGAAATTATCTCTGAAAAACTATACTTTTTGTTTAATATTTAATTTCTGTCATCCCCAGGACAGAGAATTATTAATAAAATTGTCTAAACTTATTGGTTTAATTAAATATTAATTGGCCACAATTATGTTTTACAGAATTGATTTCCCACTCTTTTATATATATATATATATATATATATATATATATATATATATATATATATATATATGAGGAAAATAAAAAAAAATTATCCACATTCATGACACAGATATGTTATGGCAAAAGTGTGGATAATTTTTAACTTACCCTCACATATTAAAAAAAAAAAAAAAAGAAAGTCTGATAGTATGACAATATTGGCACAATGCTCAAACCAATACCTTTGCCCGATAATAATTGTTACACTTAGTGTATGAAATATATATGTAAATGTAACAATTATTATGGGACAAAAGTTGTATAATTTTATTTCATCACTTTTGCTATATTTTTTTTTCAGACTTTTTCTTAACTTTGAACATTATAATTCTGCCTAATTGCTATTAAACCCATAATGATAGAAATGTAGAAGCTAATCATTAATTATGGAGTAAGAAAATCTGCCAACTAGCCACTTCCTATCTTCTATGCTTGCATGCTAAAAGCTTTGGTTGAGATGAAACTTAAATTTTATAGATATTGACTTTCTACTTGGCTTCTTTATAATTGATATTTTCAGTTAATATATATTTATATAATGTATATATTAACTGAAAATGTCAATTGTTTTATTGACTTAAGATGTCTAAGAATGCAGTTTGTGTAATTATCACTTTGTTTGCCAGTTTATGAGAGCTAAATTTCAGTTGTTAAAATGAATGAGTTTCTATTGATTAATAATGAACAGATTAGACATATGATTAAGCAAGTGTAAATTGTTCTTTTTAAACTTCAAATAAAATGTAGATTTGATTAAGTTAACCCCTTCCCCGCTAATTATTTTAGGAAAAATATTTCATTTTCAAATTTTTTTTTATTTGTTTTTAATATAGTAACTAAGAAAATGAGGCAACGTGAAGTAACCGAGTGGTGGGTAACACCTCTACAAGACACATGAGTTGACAACTAGAGTTGTTTCAAGTTCAGGAGCGCATAAAAAAAAAAAAAAATCAAGATTGATATATA